AGGGAGCAGTTGCAGGAATGGCCCTGTGGGGAGCATTTGTCACATGGATTGCTGTCACTCCTCCCATGGCTGCAATTCTTTACCCCTTATCTGGAGCAGCCTCAGTCAGCAGCACAATTCTGCCTGTTCAGCCTGGCAAGGTGAAGGTCCAGGGATCTGGGCTGATGCAGGCAGGTCCTTCTCATGTGTGGAACATCAAACCACTCCTTTCTGTATCCTCTGTTCCTTTATCTCAGACCTTGGAACTGCTGCAGGTTTTTCACTTGAATGGCTTTGTTAGTTACCTTAAACCATTTCCTCTCAAAACAGTAATCCTGAAAGGATTATTATTAATTACTCAGTTTTGGAATGAGCTTACTGCTCATTAAGCAGGCAAAGTTGATTGTTATCTGCTGGTTTGAGGCAATGGCTTTGCATCATGCTGGGTTGCTCATGAAGTTTTCTCAGCAGGTTTGGTTTTCACTGTTAGAACTCCAGACATATTTCAGGATTACTGAGTTTAGGATTTGAACATACCCTTTCTTTCTTTTTCATTTCCCCCACAGTCTGTTTATTGGCTGGAACATTGTCCTTCTGGGCTTTGCAGAGTGCAGCTTCCCCACCTGGGGGAGTGGGGATTTCCTTGCTGTGCAGCCACATGGCTCCAGTCCTTGTCTCTGGTGAAAAGTATTCTGTGAGATGCTTCTAAAATGTCTTTATCCCCCTTCATCCAAACTTCTTTTACCACTTCTGGTAAAGATGTCACATCTGGGAGAAATTCCCTTGAGAGTTTTGGGTAAATTAAGAAATGGTCTCCTGGTCTTCTGCCCTTTTGTTCTATTTTTGCAGGCAGAGACTGAGCTGGATGACATTGCTCATCAGATGCACTTTGAGTTTATTATTTTTCTGCAGTTATTTGATCTACTTTGGGAAACTTGTAGTGGGCTCCTTTTAACTGATTAATATTTGAAACAGTTTTGCAGAAATCTTTGGGACCAAGGATTTCTAGAATTCTCAGACCTGTGCTGTATAAGAAGGGTTTTGTGCCCTTTAATGTTTCTTTGCTTTTCTGGCTTTTTGTTGGTCTTGCAATAAACTCCAGCACTCCCTTGCTAAGGTAAATCCACTCAGGTTCTCGTGTCAGGAGTCAGGTTAATTTTTATGCAGCTGTAAAGACAAACATTTCACAATTTAAATGGATTTTTTCCCTCCCCTTAGCTTGTTCAGCACTCAAACAGATGTTTGGTTACTTGTACTCTCTGGGGCTTTGTTTTTTTGGACAGTCTCATTTGAATGAAATCACTGCTCAGGGAAGAGAAAGGCAGGAGGTGCCTTCCAAGCTGAGCTCACTCCTGCAGACACTGGGATAAGCAGATTTTGGGGTTTTTCCCTTTCTGCACTCCTGCATGGGCCGAGCTGCTGGGCTCTGGGAGTTGCCAGGAGTTTCAGTGTGGCTGTGATAAACCAGGCTGGCTCCTCAGTGAGCAGCTGATCTCTGTTACTGCCCTGCAACTCTCCCATTCTTGTTTGAACTTCCTTTCTTATTTAATGTTTCTTTAAAAATAGCTTTATTTGTTTTCATAGAGCTCTGTAGAGCAGCGTTCTGGAGGGTGTGGGCCCTGCTCTCCCTGTGCCACGTCCTACAATTAACAAAGTCCTTTTTGCCACCTTCTCAGAAGTGTTTTGAATTCAATTCAGTTTGTAGAGGGTAACACACAAGTGAGAAATTCCATGTTCCTCACTGTGTAAGAGGTGGGGCACTTTTCCTCTCTCTGGTCCTAACCCCTACAATTGAAATCCTGCAATTCAGTGAAATTGGATATGTGGTGAGGTTTTTGGATACATATCCTTCACTGTGCAATGGTAAAATTGGAAATTAGCCCTAATTGCAGGCAAGTTTGGCGTTAGTAATATTACCAATATTACTGGTAATAAAGATTTTAAAACTGGTTTTAAGAAGGATTTGAAATAAAACCCCAAAGCTTCTTGGCATAGAATGACTATAACCTTGTTAAATAACAAATAACCTATGTTAAGGTTAGTGCAGAGAAGTAAACATGCAATATTTGCTTTACTCTGATGGTGAGGAGGATTAACCACTGAAGATATCCTGGAATTTTATGGCCTGAGTTCAAAGACAAGGCAATGACAAGAACAATTATTCTGTGATTAACCCCTGCACGTCAGATCATGTCAGATTTCAGAGTTTTCTTCTCATATGTAAAGTTTAGAGTTTACTGCCAGCACAGTTTACTACAGCTCTGTTCTGGCAGAGAAACCCAGAGCCAGGAGTGACTCATGCAGGAGCACCCAGCACAGTGGGGACCTCTGAGGAGAATCCATGGATTGAGGAGAATCCATGGATTGAGGGGGCCCAGAGCTGAGGAGAATCCATGGATTGAGGGGACCCAGAGCTGAGGAGAATCCATGGATTGAGGGGACCCAGAGCTGAGGAGAATCCATGGATTGAGGGGACCCAGAGCTGAGGAGAATCCATGGATTGAGAGGAAGCAGAGCTGAGGAGAATCCATGGATTGAGGGGAACCAGAGCTGAGGAGAATCCATGGATTGAGAGGACCCAGAGCTGAGGAGAATCCATGGATTGAGGGGGCCCAGAGCTGAGGAGAATCCATGGATTGAGGAGGAACCAGAGCTGAGGAGAATCCATGGATTGAGAAGAATCAGAGCTGAGGAGAATCCATGGATTGTGGGGGCCCAGAGCTGAGGAGAATCCATGGATTGAGGGGGCCCAGAGCTGAGGAGAATCCATGGATTGAGGGGGCCCAGAGCTGCTCCTGAGGAGGGGCTGGAGCATCAAACACCAAATGGGCCTCTCAGGCAACAGTTCCAGAGCAGAATTCCTTGGCTCCAGAGCACTGGAGTTTCTTGGCATTCTGAGTGCATTCCTTCTCCAGTGTGTGCTCAGAATAACTTGGGACTTTTTGGAGCAGAAGTGGGACAAACGTTTGCAGACAGAACAGTCTGGGCTTCCTTTGGGCTGCTGGGCTTTGAGAAAGCATCAGGGTTTGTTCATGGCTCTGATCCCCTCCTCTGACTCAAATAATCCAAAAAGCCTGTCCTGAACTGAAGCAGATGCTGCTGTTGGTTGCTCACTTTGAATGCTGCACTTGTGTTGGGAGAGAAGCAAAGTTTCAGGATAAGTAAATGCATTTGACCTTTTTTGGTCACTTGGATTTTGGCTTAGGAGGATGGACCTTAATGAAAGCCACAGGTCAGCCTGAAATTTTAAACAACTTTTTGTGCAGTTCTATGATTTTAAAGTAGCTTTTGTTTGGATTTCAGTGGGCCAGGTCAAGTTTAATGGGATGGGGATTTCAGCCTGTGCTGTTACTGCAGTGTAACTCAGGCTTTGCTTGAAGTTTGAGGACTCAGATCAGCTCTGAGTCAAAGATTTATTTCTGCTTCAAAGCATGCATTACCCTGGGCAGTACAAAATTTGTATTTTCCTTAGATGGGATGCAGTGTTTTGTTTTCCAGTCCCTTTTTTCCAAAGGTAGATCAGACCTGACACGTGGCAGCAGAAAAAGCAGATGAATATAAATCTATAATTTACCTGTAGGAAATGTCAGCTCCAGTGTAAACATGGGAGGGGAATTGCTGAAACCCAGCCTGCTGTGCAGGGACAGTGAAGGGTTAAATATTAACATTATCCTTTTTCTAGATGCTTCTAGAATTGTGCCTCCTGAGCAAACACATGGCAGAGTTCAGGACAATCCATTAACAGTAACCTGCTGCAAGCTTGACTCTACTATCCAAAGCTAAAGCTGGCAATGTGTAATTTGTGGCAGAATAACAACTTCCTTTCTCTGTCAGGTCTTCATTAATGACACCAATAAAGGTTTGAAGAAAGCTGTGTCTACAGCCAGGTTTGGGGAGCTCTGACAGGAGGGACACTTGCAGGAATGAGTCCATTGGCTGTAGGAACAGTAATTCAGTAAATCATGTAAATGATTTACTGAATTATAAATAAACAGTAATTCATGTAAAATCCTCAACAGCTCTTCAAGAGACTCAGCTCTGTCTGTAAAGTCCCCATGAGTTCACAAAACCCAAAGCAGCTCTCTGAATCTAAGGCAGTTTCACTGAAAATCTTTCTCTTTTCCTGGCCTCTGAAAATCCTGCTGTTGTTCTTCTTAACTTTCAGAGTCTTTCTGAATTCTCCTCACTGTGGTGATGAAAGAATTGGCCAGGCTCTGAGAATTGCATGGATGAAAATCACTCTTGGAAGGACTCTAATAATAACAATAATAAGCAAAATCCATTGAAACTCATCTGACATAAAGTACATGTCAGGATAATCTGACATATTTGGCTGCTTTAAGTACTGAAGCAGTACTCAGAGAATTGAATTTTATAACAAAGGTTTCCAGTGCCTCCTTCTAGCCCAGAAAAAACTAAAATTTTCCAACTCAGCGATGCATCCTTCATTGTCAGAGCGATGATGAGATGGGTGCTATCACTGGGAGCCCACTGCTGCTTTCCAATGGGCCTTTGTGGTGCTGGGACAAAGACTGATTGATAAATTGCCTATAAAACGTGGCTTTGGGATATTATTTGATTGTCAGTGAAGTCTCTATGTACTCACAGTTATGTCTTTCCTCACAACACCTGCAGTACAATCAATTCTCAGTTCCTGGAGCACTGCACAGGGGGAGATAGAGGCACTGAACAATTAATTAGCCATGCCTTGGAGAAGAAAGAAAAAGGATAATAGAGAGCAGAGAGCAGCAGTGCCATTGGAAAGCTGCCATCAGAAGGTGTGGCTGCCCACAGGAGGACGTTCACTGCAGCCCTGGCAGTGGCACAGAAAACTGAAATATTGCTCTGGGCAATTGCTGAGCAGCTGGGGCACCTGCAAAGTGAAAACCTGACAAATGTGGCAATTTCAGTTGTGCTGAGTGTGTGTTTAACCACAGCTGCACCAGAGGCTGGGAGATGAGCAGTGCCCAGCCCTGCCCACAGTAATTAATGCATTAATTCATGCTCTGTTCTGTCTGCAGGCTGGCAGTGATGGTGAGAGCATAGGAAACTGCCCCTTCTCCCAGAGGCTCTTCATGATCCTGTGGCTGAAGGGAGTCGTGTTCAGTGTCACAACAGTGGACCTGAAGAGGTAAGAAATCCTTGATTTATTGGGCCAGCAAGAGCTCAGCATTCTCGGTGGAACAAAGCTTTGGCCAGAGCTTTTATGGCTCACAGGCTGGTTTTGTGAAATTAAAACCTCTCCTAATAATTAACTGAGGCAACCTGCATGTGAATGGTGCAGTCGTTGATGGTTTAACCAAAAATAATGGTAAATTCTCTTGAATTTGTTCAGTGATGATCCTTTGTAAAACTCACAAAGTCTTTTGTAAGTGAAGATTGACTTTTCCTTTCCTGATGTGACATCAAGATGCCCTAAGTGGGGACTGATGGATATTTTCAGTCAGCCACCCTCTGGTCACACTCCAGTGATGGATAATTGTCACAAACAATGTGCAGCCTCCTCCTTTTCTTCATGTTTTTAAGATCATTTTGGTTATTGTGCAATAATAATGAAAATACCTGCCCATGAGGTAAATCCAAGTGAAATGGGTAGGAATAAAATGCAGAATATTCAATATTCTGCCTTTGTACAGTGTCAGCCAGATCAGTCCTGGTGCTGTCACCTGAACTGCAGCTGCTCCTCTGTGAAATGAGTACCTTGGTATAAAACCAGTCAGGAGTCCAGGAGTCTTCATTTCCTCAGGCTGGGCATTCTTTTTTGTGAAAGTGCTAAATTCAGCAGGGGCCTGTGTTTGCTTTGGGTGTGAAGTCATGTTTTCCCAGCACTGATGGAAACTCTGCCGAGGGGAGGCTGCCAGTGCCTCCAAACCTGAATTTCAGGAATCAAGCCAACAGAAACAGAGTGTTCTGCACTGAGTCCAACTCAGAAGGGAGAAATCACCCTGCTGGACTTAAGCTCTTGGGATTTTTTTGAGGGAGGTGACTTGTTTGGCTTTTAAAAATCCCTGAAGTTGCTGCTTCAGAGCTGGCAAGGAGTGTTAAAGGCTCCCATGTGTGCTGAGGGGCAGGGAGCAGCTTTTGTCAGCTCTGGCTGCATTGGGAGCTGCTCAAAGAGCTTTTCTGGCCACTGTGGGATTTCCCTGCCAGGGCTGCCAGCCCCATACACCAAATGTGTCCCACCAAGCCTTGCCTGTGGCTGCTGCAAGCTCAGGGGCAGAGCTGCTGCTTGTGGGCTCTTGGGAATTTGGGATTTCCTTTTCCTTTAATGATGGGGTTGTTTAACCTATTGCAGTTACTGAGGTGGACAGAGATATTTTAGGTTTGAAAGGCTTTTTACTGCTGGACCAGTTTAGATATCATTAAAGTGCCAAATATTCCTGATGAATTGGCTTTATTTTGTGTCCCCTTGGCAACTTGGAGTTCATTGGATGGGGAATGGGATGTAAGGCCAACTTTTAGCCTATATAAATTGGTTGCAGATGTTTAAAGTTGACCTTCCTTACACAAGGAAAGCTTTCTTTCAGGATCCTTTTTTTTTTTCTGTTGAGGAGGGGAAAACACAAAATAAGTGTAAAATTAAAGCTCTGCAGGGGAATAGGTCAAATAAACCACGTTTGTGTTGTGCACTGAAGGGGCTCTCTGGGAAGGGAAATAAAGGACCACTGAAGCTAATTCAGGTTGGAATAGCTATTGATACAAACTTAATTCCTTTAGACTTTATTTAGATGTCCTTAAATACAACTTTAACACTGTGGGCTGATCAATAGCCAGTGGCAGAGCAGTGCAGCTTGCAGAGCATCACATCCAGCTGAGTGCTGAATAGGAAATGTTTGACATCACATGGGGCTGTTTCCCCTTGTTATCTCTGCCAGAATGATAATAGATGTTAGGTGGTGCCTTAATATTGCCACAAGAAACTGCTTTTGTCAGCCCTTTATTCAAGCCAATTATCTGCTCTGCCCTTTTTGAGTTTGTGTCTAACAGGAACAGAGCAGAGCAGGAATTGTTTAAAAAACCTGAATTTATTTTGTTGGCCAAAACCAGGAAAAAAGGCTTTGCTTGCCTCTGCCTCATACCATCAGTGCTGCACTACAGCAAGGCCAGCTCTGTTTGTGAGCCTGAAAAGGTCATGGTTGGGTACAAAAGTTCACAAGTGAGGGCCTTGGGACACAGGAAAATCTGAGCCTGTGCTTCCCTGCAGAGCTGCCCTGAGCTACCAGAGGCACATTCTGCACTGCTCAGCCCTGCCCTCAGCACCCCAAACGGGCACACAGGCCAAGGAGGGGGCAGAACCACCCTCTGCAAGGAGTCAGGCATTTCTCCCCTCTCTTTGGGCACACAGAGCCTTCATTCTTCCCTTCTGGGCAGCAGCACTTCATGGCCAGAGCTCTGCCTTGTTCTGGGGGCCCGAGCAGAGCTGCACTGCACAAACCATTTGTTGGCCTTGGAGCAGCACTCAGGGCCAGCTTGCCTTCAGCTGAGGGCTGAAATCCTGCTTGAAGCATCTTCATCTGGAGTTTTTGCAGTTCCTCTGACAGGCAAAGCTTAAATAATGATATGGAATATTCAAATTAAACATTAAAGACCACCCAGGGGTGAATCTAACTTCAGCAGAGTGAAATGCTGCTGAGAACTGGGGTTTTAGTGCTGACTTTTCCCCATGTTACTCTTCAGATCCTCATTGCAGTATTTGTGTAATTTATAAATGTGTTACATTTGGGGGCTGGAATTTGTCTGATCTACAATAAGTGATTTGCATGCTAATTACTGCTCTGGTTTGTGGCAGAGCTGTGAGGTGTTTACATCCTAACTCAGGGTAGTGATGGCCAGATAATTAACGTGGCCCTGCCTCCAAAACCCCTGCTAAACTCTGGGGTAGGCACAAACCATCTTGGAATTCTTTGGAGTGGCTACAGAAGGGGTTTTTGTTTGGGTTTGGTTTGTTTTTTATGCTCTCCAGCTTTATCTCAGAAGGAAAACATCACTGTTACAGTAATTGCCTTCTTGTTGGACTGTTGAGGGAATTTGTACTCTGAGCCTTTTCAGGCTGTTGCTGTGTGCCTGTGCTCCAAGGGCTGTGCTAGAGCAGGGCTTGGCTGGGATCTCCTGGCAGGGGCAGAAAAGTGGAAGTCAAACCCTGAGCTGGGCTGTGGGATCTTCATTCTGCTTTCTTTTGAAAGATCCAGGTGGATAAAGTGCTCTGAGATGCACTCTGGCTCTTTGGAAAACTCTTTTTCCAGTTCTTTGGAATAATCTGTTTCTGAGCTAAAGCTTGCCTTTGATAGTATTCCTGCAGATCCTGTGCTCTTGCCCTGTTTGTTTTTCAAATAACATTCCTTTTGAGGAATTTTATCTGGCCAACATGGGGAACTGGAAGGGAGCCACGATGACTTCCTGTAATTGTTGGGAGTCACAAAGCTGGATTTAAATAAGTGTTAAGCTACTTAAAGCATTACTCAATGACAGACTTTAAATCCTACAAGTGAGAGAATGGTGGCAACTCTTAGTGAGAAATAACTTCTGAGAAGTTTAAAAATTGAAAAGAGTTAAATTCTTGTGTTCATAAGGTCTCCCAGGGTGTAAAGTATGAAAATCCCTTTTCTCCTTCAGTGTTACAAGTAAGCACACCCTGGCTCTAGAAAAGGGGCAGGACATGAAATTCTGGCAGGGGTTCTTAACTTTGTAAGAAATGGAAACAAGGCAGAGTTGGAAGCTGGGCTCAGCTCAGAGGACTGCAGGACTGGGGCTGTGGGTGGCACCAGTTCATTTTCCCTGGCTGCTGCTGGTGTCAGGAGCATTTCCTGAAGTGCAGTTGCAGTTTCCAGTCAATCCAGTTCCTGCCTGCCTGGAGCTGGCTCAGGAACGTGGCCAGGCTGGACAGGGCTCAGGCCCAGCTCAGGGTTGTGGTCCAGGCTGGATTTGCTCCATCAGGAACCAAGGGGCAGCTTTACCTTGGCTGAGCTCTCAGCTGGGCCAGCAGGAGGCGGTGGCCAGGCTGCCTGAGGGAAATGTTAGTTAGAAATAGAGCTAGAAATGGCTGAGTATTTCAGCTTTTTGCTGTTTCTCTCATGAATAATCCCAGTGTGGGGTTCCTCTCCCAGGTGTGCTGCTCTTGTTTGCAAATTCCTTTTTTCACTGGGGGAAACTGAAGCATAATTTTAACCATGATGTTGAAGCATCTGTCAGCCTGCCTGGAACCAGCCTCCCTGGGCACATAATAAATGCTTTATACACTGGGCTGGGGCAGAGCTGCTTCTTTCCAGAGCAGCTCTGTGTCAGGGGGGAGGATTAGCACAGCTTATGCTATATATAACTGCTCTGTAGGGCTGGGGAGAGTGGGAGCTGTGAGTACAGGTATCCCTCTTCCAGCCAACATTGGGTTGAGTTGAGAATAAACACAGCCAGAGGTAGGAGGAAATTGATTTTAACTGTTTCAAATGAATTTTTAGCGTGTGTATTCAAAATGTTTAATTGTAAACTCACATTTTAGAAAGAAAACTGCTGGTGTTTATTGAAAAGTGAGGATGTGGAAACCTCAGCAGTGCTTTTGTGGTCATAGCAATGAAATGTTGTCCCTGCTTACTGTTGATGGTTTGCATGTCCCCAGGAAACCAGCAGACCTCCAGAATCTGGCTCCAGGCACTCACCCCCCCTTCATCACATACAACGGGGAGGTGAGAACAGATGTGAACAAGATTGAAGAGTTCCTGGAAGATGTCCTGGCCCCACCCAAGTAAGTGTTAAACTGGTGGTTTGTCACCTCACACAGCTCTCCCAGGGCATTTCTGCCCTAAGATGTTCTTCAGCAGCAATAAACTGAAGACATGGAATAGATCTTGCTTGTCAAACCTTCCTCCCCTCAGCTCCCTCATCTTTAGATCAAAAACTGGTTTCTCTGGAAGATTATTTTTAAATTATCCTTTCTATACCCCAGTCATCCTTTCTGCACTTTCAAACCCTCCCTCTTGGTGACAGGCACATTTCTGTCCAAATAATGCAAATGAAGATGAGTCTGCTGTACAAAACTTAGTCCTAAACTATAGAGAGAATTTGTTTTCATGTGTTCAAACTGTCTCCAGACTCTTGGCTTTGTACTCTTCAGCTGGCAGGCAGATCCAGACACTGCCTTTAACAGACTGAACTGTTTTGTCTTTTCAGCATGGCAAAACTTCATGTTTTTGTTAAGGGATGTGGAGTCCATAATTCTGATGCTAATTGAAGTGGAAAACTCTTGTTTTGCTTACAGATGAGTGATGTGCTCCCTTGGCAGCACTGGACTGAGGAGCTCTGGTGCCCTGGGCTCCTCAGACACTCTGCTTGTACCAAATGTCTGGTTCAGAAAGCAGGAATGTGCTTTTCTCCCTCTGGGAAGTGCTGGGTTTAAAACCCTCAGTGTGTGATGCTGCACTTCAGGAGCCAGTCTGGAAAAGGATAAATCAGTAACAAAATGCCATTTTGTGCTGATTAATAGACAATGAGCACCATTCTGCTAAATGTGCTCTAGATCTGCTCCTTGCTGCTTTTCAGGTACCTGAAACTCTCACCAAAGCACCCAGAATCCAACACTGCTGGAATGGATATATTTGCCAAATTTTCTGCTTTTATCAAGAACTCCAGACCAGAAGCTAATGAAGGTGGGTCACTGGGGGGACAGGGCACTCCTCATTCACTGTTGGTGTTTTTCACAGCAGCTTTGTGGGAAGTGTCTCCCTGACAGATTTGGCTGCATGTTGGTGGACACTTGAGAGGCTCATGAATTAAAATCTTATTTAAATTAAATGTCAAAGATTTCAACATTTGAAAAAGAACTTCAGTTCAATTAGAATTTCAGTGGGTTGTAAATATCCCTGGCACTGGATCTTCCCTGTGCAGCAGCTACCCAAAACTCTTGGATGAAGGATAAATATTTCAACATCCAGAAGCAAATTTTAGGCAGAGTTTGTGTCATGCCCCAATGGTTGAATTTCTGTGCATCTGCTGCTCTTATTTCACCTCTCTAGGACTGAGGGCTCCCATTCAGAGTTCTGAGCTAAGCTTAGTTTGTGTCACTTCCATTAAAGGATTAAAACCTTTCTGTGTGGAGGGAAAACAGGAGATTTCACATGAGGGATCAATGAGTGGTAAAGAACTCACAGCTGGGCCTTTAAGTAGTTCAGGACAAATCAATTTTGTCCTCAAAGTACTTGAAGGAAAAACCAAACTCGGGGAATCAGGGCTCCTTTCTGCTGCATTTCAAAGGGAGAGATGTAAAATATTTGCAAACGGTTGGGAAATAAACGGGGATTTTCTGGGGTGTGCTGCCCTCTGCTGCTGCATTCCATAAACCTTCTGTCCCATTCCCAATCCTGCTGTGCTCCAGCCCCAGCCTGGGTGCTCTGGGTTGGTCAGGGCTGTTTGCTGAGCATGTGACATTAAACAGATTATGTTTAAATGTATATAAACCCCAGCATAGCTTAATTCTAATCAGTTTAAGCCAGTTAGGCACAGTCTTAAGAAACTGACATAAGCCACTTTTTAAACCAAAAATAAACCCTTGTGGGCAGTCTTACAGTATTTGAAATTAGTGCAAACTCCTGTATTAGCAGCTTTAAAATAACCTGCATTTGTGGGATATTTAAAGAGATTCTGGTCCAGTTTCAGTGTTCTGAGGAGCACAGAGGCACCAAAACTGACCAAGGGTTACAAATCCTTCAGGGTAGCACAGGGGTGTGGGGTTTGTATTTCAGATCTGATGGCAGCCTCAGTTTAACATGAGTTTTGAATCCTCTCTTGCTGTGCAGCCTTAGAGCGTGGCCTCTTGAAAACCCTGCAGAAGCTGGATGAGTACCTGAACTCACCCCTGCCCGATGAGATCGATGAGAACAGCCTGGAGGACGTCACCGTCTCCACGCGCAAATTCCTGGATGGCAACGAGATGACCTTGGCCGACTGCAACCTGCTGCCCAAACTGCACATTGTCAAGGTCAGGCCTGGGGGGCTGCAAGGGGAAATGCAGCAGGAAAAAATCTGTGCTTTGTGTTGTTCCTGAGCCCAGCTGATTGCAGCTGTCTGCAAGCTTAGCTGCACTGATAGCACCTGAGTTTGTGCAGGTTTGGGTCACTCAGAGGGCTCTGAGCAGTGTGAAGCTGGGCAGCAGAGAGCCAAACCCCATTCCCTGCACTGACCTCGAGGTCTCAGGGAGCTGCAGAGCTCACAAGGAGGAAGAAGAGGGTGAAGATCAGGTCAGCAGGTAATGGCTGAAGGGGGTGTCTGCTCACTTCTGTAGAGGAAACTGCTCCAGAACAAAGTAAATGACACAAATAAAGGGATTGTAGAAATAACCAAGTTGGAATCTTGGAAGAGGCAGCCTGGGACAGCCACAGGAGTGCAGATGTGCCCTCATCAGTGTGGTTTGGTTCCTCCCCTGCCTGCAGTGCTCTGTGTCAGTTCTGTACTGCAGATGGAGCCACAGGCTCAGTTTCTGGCTGCCTGCAGAAGTTTCCTGAGTGAGGAGAGCCCCAAGGGAGCGAGGCAGGAACAGCCAGGGCATCCCTCAGGAGCAGCCTCTGGAACCTGCAGGACTCACCCCAAGTGCCCAGGCTGGAAGGATAAACTCACAAGAGAGTGGCCAGGGCTGGAGAAGTGTTTGAAGTGAAGGATGCAAATTCCTAACGTAATTCTGTCCTTCCAGGTGGTGGCCAAAAAATACCGCAACTTTGAGATTCCCAAGGAGATGACAGGGATCTGGAGATACCTGACAAATGCTTACAGCAGGGATGAGTTCACCAACACCTGTCCTGGAGACAAGGAGATTGAAATAGCTTACAGTGATGTAGCCAAGAGACTCACCAAGTAACCAGCACCTGCAAACCAGGTCCTGCATATCCCATAACAATGCTTCTAACAGACTGCTCTTTTCATATCAATAGCAATTGGTTTTTGCATGAACTCGCAGTTACTCCAAGCCACGTGGATAGACCAGGTACAGTAATTACCTAAAGTTTGCAGACTTTAATTACAGGCTTGTTTTTCCTGACCTCCTCTCACAGCCTTTGAGCGTGGTCGGTGCAGTCGTGTTCCTCTTGCACTGGGGTGACTCTGGATTCTTCAGTCTGAAGGGTTGGCTCGCCCCTGCTGCTGTTCTCTCTGTAAACATTTGGTCCATGATTTGTCCAGGAATTGGTTTAGGATCCTGTCTCGCTGTATGGTACAAGGAATATTTATGTATTTTGGGATTTATTGCTTTTCCAGAAGATCTGTACACACCTGTCATACCTGTGACACGTTGAACTGTACCTGCTTGTCTATCCTATTGACATAGAGAAGGGAACTTAGTATCCAAAAGAGCCATTTGCAAAATATTTGGCAATGTTTTGTTGGTTTGTTTTGTTGTATTTTTATAAAATCTCTTGGAATTGAAGTCACGGTAATGGTTGAGAATGGACTCAATGTGAACCTTGGATTTGAATGACCTCAGCCTCAGGGAAGTTTGAATCCAGGCTTGAGAGCTGGGGCAGGAAGCTCAAAGCTCAGAGTTGATGTTTTTTTGTGTCTTCAAGAGCTTGAGGAGATTTAAAGACCTGCATTGTATGAATTTTGAGTTGCAGCAAACAAATAATTGTCAGGATTTTCCATTAGGAAACAGCAGAGTTGGAAGCTGCCCTCTGTTCACCTTAAAAATTGCAAGTGGCTTTCTTTTTGGTAGTTAAGAGCCTTTTTGTTTTGTATAGTTATTTTTGGTGATTTTTACTTAAAAATCTGTTCCGTCATAGCCCAAATCCATGGAAACTGTAGTGTCCTAACTCTGGGTGGGGAATAGCAGTGCAATGATTAGTGATGCAAAATGGACTGAGAGCCATGAAATGGGAACTTTTTAATGCCCTTTCTTCCCTGAAGAAAGCTAAAGTGACCTTTAAAAAGAACATTTGCCTTAAATGATGGTAGGGTGGTTTTTTTTTTTCCTGAATGGAAATCTGGGAATTTTGTAAAGAAATGGTGGTGGAATCCAGTCCTTTCCATGGAATTGATCCCAATTGTTTCTGTGCACCTGGACTGCAGTTTTGCATACTCATAATCATTGCACTACTATACTTAAATCTTTTTACAGCAACACTGAGGAATAGCACTACAATTTTTTTAAAAGCAATTTTCAAATGTTTCTAAACCAGGGAATAGTTTTCTTGTTTAAAATTAATGGTTTTGATGCACGAAATAAACTGCTAGGTTATTTTTAAAAGACCATCATAAACAACTCCAAAGAATGCTAGACTTATATGCCTATTTTTTTGTAAAGATACTTTTATATTTAACTGATTTTAGAAGCTGGAAAGTGCTATTCCTGCTAGGTTGTTCTTGGAATATTTAACATTCTGCAATAACGTGGAAATGCTCACACAAACACTTTTATACACTAATTGTTTTCTTTTGTTTTTCTTTTTTTTTTTTTTTTTTTTTGGTAAAGCACTGGCTTTCTGAAAACCAGCCTGACTTTTCTAAGCCTCCTGCTTTTGCTACTTTATTGTACCCATGGAGTTAGTTGGACATAGAAGAGGTAGAGAACCAGATCCATATTTGTATCCCTGGCTTGTGGTGCCTTGCCTTGCCTTCCTAGAGCTAGAATTCCAATATAAAGGCACTTAGCAATCCTGTCACATCTCTTTCAAAGGCAACTCTCTTAGATACACTTAACCCCTGTTCTGATTTGTTTCAGGAATGTTCAGGCACAGAGGGAAATCCTGGGGAGTGGCCTGGTTAGGAGAACCTTGGCTGTAGCCCTTCATTAATTACTGTGTTCTAATGTCACGTTCCCCTCCTCAGTAAAGTTCCTCAGCCATCAGAATCCTCTGTAGGGCTTCAGTCTCTGCTACAACGTGACATCTAGAAAAAGGAATGACTTTTTAATTGAGATAACAGCATTTTCAATGACACACAGGGTGAAGAAACCCCAGACCCAACCCTCCTTGGTTTGGTGCTCTTGGCCACCACAGAGGTCACAAAGCTGTAGGAAGCACCTGATTGTGGGCATATCTTTGAAAGGAGACCTAAAAACTTCACAAAAGCAGGTCAGGATGGCCCTTGGAAGTTGTGGTGGTGGGGTTTGGAGTCAGGCTGTGCTCCCTTCCCCAGGGAATTGTCCCTGGAGTGCAGAGAGCAGGGCACCCACAGCCAGGAGCTGCTGCAAGCAGGGCACCCACAGCCAGGAGCTGCTGCAAGCAGCTCCCACCCCTTAAACAGCAGCTCAGGCTGCTTCTGGCACCATTCAGACCCCTTGGAACCAGTGCCCTCCTCCCTCAGAGCTTTAACTGTGTCTGAGAGCTTGCAGACAGAGTCCAGCTGTGCCCAGTGGGTTCCTGATCTCACCCAGAGCAGCCTTTCCCTCGGAGCTGGGATCCCAATGAGCTCCAGCCCGGCATGGGAACTGTCCTGGGTGTCTCTCAGGCTTCCTGCTGCAGTTTTGTTGTGGCAGGAGCTGCCCAGCCCCTCCTGGCTCGGGGAGGGAGCAGGGACCCGGTGGAGAGGAGCAGCTCCAGCCCCACAGGTGATCCCTGCAGAGCAGGGGAACGGCAGCGTCTGCTGTGGGCAGAGCACTTTCATCTGGCCCCAATCACCAGCTCCACACTAATTAAAAAAGCCCTTTCATAACTATGTAAATTCTTGACTTCTGTCAACTTGTTTACAATCTGATCTTTAAATGCATTTTTAATTTCATCAAACAGCAATTAATCTACCCCCTGTTTAAATTTAAAATGCTGCTTCTAGCCCCTTCTCCAATTTAAAAACAGCAGTTACCCTTTCAAGTAGGCATTCCAGTTTGCAAGTTGGTTGCATGTATTAGCATGCTGAATAACTTTCTTTATTCTCAAGCTGAAATATGCTTGAATTCGCATTAAAACAGGTGACTTGTGTATTTCCTGAACACCAGGGGAAAATCCATCACCTGCACCTTGTTTTTGTGTGGGAGAACAGATTATCCTAGGTGCATTATTATTTTTAGTTTTTCCCCTTAAAGCTTTTCTTTCTTGAGGAGATCCCTGCTGTGGAAATGCTGCCTGTGGAACAAGAGGTGTGTGGGACTTGTGGAACAATTTCACCCTGTCCATCCCTTCCCTGGATGGCCCACAAGGGCAGCCCCAGCTTGCAGCTTTGCATTTTCCCATAAAATCAGTGTTTTCTCCACACTGGGCATGTCCAAACTGATCCAGAGCTGCGTGATAAGGAGAGAGATGTAATCAAATTTTTATGCTAAAGCAGCAAATTAGCATTTGGTATCAAAGGAGCACAGACAGGAGTAAATGGGAGCTGCTGGAGCCAAACCCACTGATGCCTATCTGGGTGCAGAACAAAAAGCGGTGAAGTGCAGCCAACTCTGCTGCTCTCCCTTTGCCACTCAGAAGCATCTGAACCCATCCAGTGAGGGTTTTTCAGGAGAAGGCTGAAACCCAAGTGAGAAATGCTCCATTGCCTCAGCACCTGTGCCACCAGCTCCTGAGTTTGGTTTCTGCAGGGGGGGGAGCAGGGTGAGGGGATGGAGCCTCCCAGGACAGGACATCAAGGATTGGAGCGTGGTTTGCAGAAATACTTGAAGAGTTGATACAATTTGTTGTAGTTTGCTTATGTCTTTCACTTTCTGGAACATCTTTTACAGATATACCAGTATACTGCTGGCAGCTATTGTTAAATAAAATTATATTTTCACTACCAAGCAGATCTTTCTCTTATTTCTGAAGATTTGATGTGCAATCCAAGACTGCAGGGTGATGGGCTGAACTGCACAACACAATTTATTGGTAATTCTGTTCTCCATTTTTGGCCTTCAGGTTTAGGCTTTTTTCAGTGGTGTTGTGGTTTAAGGCAGAATTAATGTTATTTCTGACATTATAACCGGCTGTGGTGCCCCTGAAAATTTAGAACTTCCTTAAAATTAGGAACAAGTTGAGAAATAATGACTTTCCACAATTTCTTTAGGAGAAGTGAGAAGATTTTTTTTCAGATTTTCAGTGGGAAGGTAAGAACAGATCTTGGTAGCTTGTTTTCCTATGGAATGAGATGTGTGAGATTAATTTAAAATACACTAAAAAAAAAATCTCACCTTTGGTTCAACTTTGTCCCCTGAGTGGCCACTTCAGGAGTTGAGATTGCATTGATCCCATTACAGAATTCCTGGGTTTCAGAGCTCTTGTTCTGAGTTTCAGATGGGTTTCTCTGCTGTCCTTTGCTTTCAGACAAGGTGCAGCAGCTCTGGCAGTAGCAGTGTTTTAATCTGGGTTAGTCTTGTTCCAGGACTGCCAGGAGCTGTGGCTGAGCACGCTGGGGTCGTGATGGCAACGCTTGAAAGTAATCCCAGCCGTGGAGGTGAGTTAGTCAGCAGGTAATTAATGCAAACCTTAATTTCAGGGGGATCCAGAGCCTGGCTGTGCCTGGTGAGCAGGGGGGATGAGCTCTCCAGGCTGGTGCTGGATTCTTTCCAGAGCTGGGAAAAGGGAACTCATGATTGTTTGAGTCAAGAGGAGAACTGCTGTGTTCTTACCACTGGACAGGGAGATGAAAACAGTTGCTAAACAAAGATCAAACATGTGAACTTTATAAATAAACAAACAAAATTGATGCTAAGGGACGTCTCAGCTCCTTTGCCTACGGCAAAGGGCTTGGCAGGACCTAGGGAATGACTTTGTCAGTTTGCACACAGAATTGTTATTTTAAAGAGGCTGATTAAAGTGATACTGCTCCTCTTAATGAGTCTGAAAACATCCCTGTCCACACAGGGGGAATGTGGGGGAGAGGAGAAATCATTTCTGGGGCTGAGCTCTGGGTGCAGAGCACAGCAATGTTCTAAATCTAAATGATCCTCAGTGATTAAAAATGCTGATTGGGGCAGCCAGACAGCGAGGGCAGCGGGGCTGAGAGGCTGCCAGGGAGGAGCTGGGGCTGCTTTGATGTGCTGGGCCCTGCCAGCCTGGGCCAGGGGACTGCACCATGCAGGGCACTGGGCACTGCCCAGGGCCCTACAGAAAGCTGTGCTGGGAGGGGGAGCAGACAGACAGACAGACAGATGTTATTTATGGCTTTATTCCGTCTGTGCAGGGTGCAGAGGGCCATGACCTGCTGTGGGTCAGTCCTGGCCCCCATTCCAGCATCAAGGCCCCTCCATCCTCTGCAGCTCCTCCTGTTTTTCTCCCTGACTTTGCTGCTGCCTCCATCCGGATGTCTCCAGTGCAGAGCAGCCCCAGGGAGCTCCAGACGGCTCCTCCCAGCTGCACTGAGCTCTCCCAGGGCAGCTCCAGCTCCTGGACCCTCCTGCCATTATGGGATGCCAGGAGAAAGGTGGTGACCCCCCAGTTGTCCTCCTGAGCCATTTCCTGCCTGAGGTTGGAGCTGCATTAGAGGCTTTGCTGCCTTTAAACACAGAGCAGAGCCCTGGACCCTGTCAGCAGCCACGTGGAGCTCCTGCACTGCTCTTGGAGGCTGTTTTGGGGTAAAGTTCTTGTTGGGAAGAACCTAATGGGGAATGGGATGGATTGGATCCCTGGAGTTGACTTTAGAGGCCATGAGTTCATTTCTTGTCTGTGTCAGGCAGGCTGCTCCCATTTGTTGTGAAAATGTAGGGTAATTAGAATGTAGGGTGAACTGCTCCCCTTTCCTTGATTGGGTGTTTTTTCCATTTCAGTTAATTTAATTTCAGAAATTCAAAGTAATCATTTCCTTTGGATGATTTTGGTGCTATTTCCCACCTGTAGCCACAATCCCCTTCCTCTGAGAGCTGAGTGGGGACCCTGTGGAAGGCAGAGCTTGGCTGCTGAGCCTGCCCTGGCCCAAGTCTCACGTGTGGCTCCAGGTGAGTCCCAGCACTGCTGCTCCTCCTGCCAGGAGGCTCCTGGGGTGAAGAGGGGACCTGAGGTCGCTGCCCTGGAGGCTGCTTGAGGACAGGGACACGTGCTCTGGGGAAAGTGGCTTTTCTTAGCAGTGCTGCTCACAGGGACTGCAGTTTATCAGCTCCTCTGGCTGCTGGGAGTGAAGCTCCAGCAGGGTCCCAGAGCTGTGTGGGCACCCAGCCCTGCTCTGTGCCTTGGAGCTCAGCTTGGCCATCCAGCTTAGTCTGGATCTGTGGGTGAGTTTGGAGCTGGAGAATGGAGCCTGTGCTGTTCTTTCTGTCACTCAGGGCACCTGGGCAACCTCAGCTGCTGTTTGGCATCACCTGTGGCACAGGAGTCGGGATGCCCAGGCAAGGACAGAGGGCAGGAAAGTGCTGGGAGCTCTTGGGGATTTAAAGTGTGGGCAGGCATGTGCTGCTTCAGCTACTTCTGAGTTTTAATTTCCTCAGGCAATAGCTCTATAGGCACTGGGAGTTCCTGCAGTCTGTGTTTGGGTGTTTTCAGGGCAGTGGTTGGCTCTTCATCTTGCTGCACCCACTCACTCAGGAATCAGATCCACAACAGCACAGGAGCATTTACTGCAGGCTCCATGCATGGGCTTGGTGGGTTTGAAGTGTTCAGGGTGAGATTTCTTCATGGGGCTTTAATTTCCCAGCTTTTTGTGGCCTTGGAGCTGGAGTCAGCACCCAAGGAGTGTGAAATAATGCTGCCCTGACCTTTGGGTGAATTCTTCTCTGTGAGGTTTCTTGAGGAGAGATTCTGCACTTGCAGGCAGCTCAGGATGGAGATTGTCCCTGGCCCCCTCCAGAGTGTGGCAGCCCAGCTCAGGCACTCTGAGGTCCTTTTGGCAGTGAAAGATGCAGGTGAGCAAAGCTGAGGCATCAGTGGCCAAAATCCCTTCTCAGGCTCCTTCTGGCCTTCCCCTCCAGCCCAGACTTCCCTTAGGAGCAAAACCTGCTCCTCTTTCCTGTGAAAGCCCTGGGTTTGCCGTGGCTGCTGCCCTGCCTGAGCCAGGTGCCATTTCAGTGGCTGGGGGTGCAGAGAAACCTGAGGGCAGCTCCTGCTCCAGAGCTCAGCTGCAGGTGCCTGACTCTGGCTCCAGATGCTTTTAGGGCTGTGCTTGAGGAGGGAGAGGCTGCTGGAAGTTCTGGAGGGCTGCAAGAGGAGGATCCCGAGTATCCTAACGCGACTCTGGGAGCCTTTGAAGTGCTCTCCTGCCATCCCTCCCCGAGCTGCACCTTTCATCCCTCGCCAGCGCTTCCCCAGCTGGAGCCATGAAAGGGAAACTACAGAAGCCATAAATCCTGGCTGCCAACATCTCCACTGGGGAGATTTCACAACGAGCCCGAGCTGCTGCAGAAGATAAGAGAGGGCCTTGAATCCCAGGCAAGTCAGGGCTGGTTCCTGGGAAGAGCTGAGCTCCACGGCATCGTTGGGGGTCCCTGTGGCTTCCCTGGGCACAGGAGCTGCCTCTGGGCGCCCTGGGGTGAGCCCCAGCCCGGGGCAGAGCTCCCCAAGCCCAGGGCAAAGCTGTGGTTTGGATGGAACAGCCCCTCTGCAGAGTCCTGCTGTGGTTTCACTGCTCCCAAGGGTTGATTTTATCACACCTGCAGGAGCTGGGCTGACAAACCCCTGCTGCAGCAGAGCCCCTGTGCAGAGAGGCCAGGAGGGGCTCCAGCAGTGCTGACCTCCAGGATCCCTGCTCTGGCCACGCTGGCTGCTGGAACAGGGCATGAAGGGAGAGGGATCTTTGTCTCTTCACACTCAGAGAGCAGCCAGAAGGCTCCTGGCTCCATCAGGAGCGTTGGTTCAACAGAGGGGAAACAGCCTGAGGTGCCAGACAGCTCTGAAGCCCCCAGCAGCAGCTCCAGCTGCCCCTCCTTGGGGACCTTGCCAGGTTTCCCTTCCCGTCACAGGTGAGGGCAGAGAGGATCCGCTCTGCAATTTGGTGCTGACACCCAGACAGAGCCCGGGCTCTGAGGAGGCAGAGGCTGTGTCTAGGAATTCACAGCAGCAGCTGCTGCTGCAAACCTCAGCCAGGCAGGAGCTGCCCTTGCCCTCCAGGGATGCCTTGGCAGGGCTGTGCTCGCTCAGACTTTCTTGGAACAGGAGCCTCAGTGTCAGCTCCACCCATGGGAGCCTTCCCTCTTTTTCAGCTGAAAACCCAATCCTCACATTGCTGCCTTATTGATTATTGGGATATAGGAAAAGCCTTCCCAGGAATGCAAAGCTGTAAACAGTCCTTGCCTGCTGTCACTGTTGGAGCTGGTGATGTGGATTTGGGGCAATTGGGATTTCTGGATCTGCTCCTGGGGGCTCCATCTCCTGCAGATCCTGTCAGACCCACAGCTCTGTGCACTGCAGACCTTCCCTGCCTGCAGCATCCTCATCTCCCGCTCCCTCTTGATTTCCAGAGCAGTGGGAAATGGTGGGGGAGATGCCCAGGATGAGTCCTGGATGCAGCAGAGATGGAGAGCAGGAACCAGCCCAGGATCTCCTGTGTCTCCCTGCAGAGCCCTCCTGGGACACGGGGCAGGAATTCCCGGCCCCAGAGGCGTCCCCAGCTTTGGTGGCACTGGGACAGCCTGGTGGGGAAAGGCCCGGGCTGTGGGCAGGTTTGGGAAGAACATTCCCAGGTGGGGCTGGTGCCAGGAGCAGCTGGGGCTGGGATGATGGTCCCGGGTTTGTGATGATGGTCCCGGGTTTGTGATGATGGTCCCGGGTTTGTGATGATGGTCCCGGGCTGTGATGATGGTCCCGGGTTTGTGATGATGGTCCCGGGTTTGTGATGATGGTCCCGGGTTTGGTGATGATGGTCCCGGGTTTTTGATGA